CATTATAATAAAAGATGAAGGGCTATACCCATAAGACACAGCAAAAGCATCGAGCACAACTTGGATGAGGAAACCAGCCACAATTGGAACTTTAATCTCAGTTGTAAGTTTTCTTTCACAACAAAACATACATGACAGCCTTAAAATACAAACAATGAATTCTGGATAGAGATGGCAAGTACAAATGTAGTTGGCAATATCTGACCAATTAAGTGAGACAAAATTGCAAAATCAACAACCATTCATCAACTGAAACAAAATTCTAGAAAAACTTACAGTCATTCCAGCATGTGCACATAGATAAAAGTCATTGTTCTGTGGATGACAAATTGTGTTGTCTATCACAGTTCCTGCATAATAATTAAAAAAAAAAAAGATCGATTTTAACAACTATAACAGAGGTACCAGATGACATGCATCAAATAATGAGTGAGCCTCACCAGGTAGAACATTATCAGGAGATCCCTGCTGGAAAAACCTTGTATGATGACTTTTTTGTGCTGCAATGACCACAAACTGGGGGTTCCAATTCTCATCAAGAAACTTGCAAGCCTATAAAGTAAACGTTAACCAGAGATGTTTTATCCCGAGCACTATCATCTTAAGACTGATTTATAACTAGCACAGTTTTCTTACTTTTTTTGCATGAATAACTAAAAAAGAAATGTACAATTTTCAGTTTCCATGATTGAAGGGCACTACTGCATACCTCAATAATTTGACCCAGTTCAGTGTTCAAAACTTGATTGAACTGTGACTCGCTAACCCCATCCCTGAGTTGAACCAAGAATAATGAGCAAGTAAGCAATATTGCATTAGCATCCGAATAAAATGTAACAGAAAGATCAGCAAAATAACCGCAAACTAGATTACAAGAAATATGTAAAGAGATATGATGGTTCATAAAAAATGTTACATTCATAGAACCTAACCATACAAAACAGAAATCTAAATCTTAGTTAGGGCATTAGATGGGATTTACATCATTTTAAGTCATATAGCCAGAGCAGAAAATGAGGATAATAGAAAAGGCTAAAAAATGAGAATGTTCAGAAGCATTTCAAACAGCAGGCAGCAAGGAACATGCTAGGTTGATTAAAAGTTTAAAGGACAACTTGTACAATCTGTAAGCAACATGAAGAGACTAAGCAGATCAAATATACTTGAATATCAATACAGCATTTCACAAGTAAAAAGATGATTTAAAAGAATAAATACACCCATTACTTGAAGTCAATACAAATAGAGTTTGCAAAGCAGAGACCAAGCCGTGGCAATTAAGAACTAGGAAAACCAAATTTTGCATCCCTGAGTTCCCTAAAAATGTATTCTTTCAAAATGTATGATTTAGAATATTGATATTATATAGAATGAACGTGAGAAACAGCAAAATGTAAAATAAGAAACCTGAATATGATGATTTGAGTAGGCTTTCTCTGTCCTGAGCTTCTATAAAAGTCCAATACAGCCTGCCTGATGTCAAAGAAAATACGTTAGGTACACAAACTATAAACATTATATTCTCAAAAGTTAAAATACTACGACATAAATGATTACCAGCAGAATAACATATTCTTATTACAACACACCCCCAATGACGCCCCAAGCAAGAAGAGAGAAACAATAATAAGGATACAAAAAATAAATTTTCAGCATATAACTTGTCCCTTTTTTTGGATAAACGATGTCCTTATTTTGGCCAATACTTGTCCCTTCGTTAGTCAAATAACTTTAAGATTGAAACGTACCTCATAAGACCTCCATCCACCTGGTCAGACACTCGTTTGAATAGTGAATCTACCATTACAACCTTGGGTGACTGTGTCCGAACAGATGCCCTATAGCGGGAAATCGAAGGCCACTGCCTGGAGTTAACCACCTACAATTAAATACAATTAAAAAATCTCACAAAATTTGTAGTACAGAGAGACTGCCAATTCACATCTCTATAACTGCTTGCAATTGATTGAAACTCAAGAAACCCAATGATAAGGAATAAGATCTTCCCTACCGCAGCTATTGACGGGACATCGGACTGCCCAGGAGAGCCATGTGACACACCCATGCCAAGGATCATAGTTGGAACACTTGAAACGACAGGGAATGAAAGTGTTTGTTCAATTGATAACATTGAATTCAGTCCTCCGAGCTGTGAGCAGATTATGATATTAGCAGGTTTAATTATAAATAGAACAATAACCCTTATGGTTTAACTACAGAAGATTAGAACTGCAACCAGAGGAATGACTCAAGTTAAAAAAAAAAAAAAAATCATTGGACGGAAGCAGACCTTTGCATTGATCTTGAGAAGCAGATTCGTAAGGTAGTTGTCATTGAACCTAGTTGGAGCCATACACTGAGTGACTATGCCAAAGTGACCCAGATTCTTTCGCTTCCATGGACCTTAGAAAATTCATTGAACTTACAACGTAAGCAAAAGGCTTGAAGAAAAACATGCATAGACAATGTATCAACAGATGCGTTTGTGCACACCATAAAGACCGGAAATTTTCCTATCGGGCAGCAGACAGAGAAGGAACCGTGGAGTTTTATGAGTAAGTTTAGATTGCAGCTCATCAAACATCTTCTCCACTCTACCCAAAGGAGAGAGACGTCTGTTCTCATTCATCTCTGTGAACACACCTAATGGACTATCCACACGCTGAAAAAGAGACATGGAAAAGAACTTGAGCCAACAAGTTGAATTCTATAACGTATGTGCTGACTGACAATACCAATACAACCAGTACAAAAATTAGACAACAAACTTACAATTCCTTTCATTTCTCCGCATCTCATCAGATCCCGCACAAGTTTATTTACATCACAACGTGCCGAGAAGTTAACAACACCCCAATCTTCAATCCTAGTTGGCTCCACAAATCTCTATGAAAGCATAACTGAACTGTTGAGAAACAAGAGATGAAACATATGTAAGATAGAAGGCTGCAAAAGCAAAGAAGCTATAGACCTTATTGTTGAAATTCCATCGCCCATTCCGTGGCAAGAAATGTTCACCATCGCCCACTCTTATCTGTCATCAAAAGATAACTCAATTGGCATGTAGATCTAAAAGAAGGATCATTAAAATAACCCTCAACAACCAGCATACATGTACAAAATATCAAAGAAACAAACAAAATTCAGAAAGATAAATATCATTAACCTACCCATGGAGCTGGCAGAATACGGCCTTCCACTTGGATGAAATTAGAGCTGATAGAAACACCACATGAACGCAGCATTGGTTCAGCCCCATAATTACTGTTATGCAAAGCCTGCACAAAAATTTGCAACACTCATCGGTTGTAGAACAAGTGGAATGTTGAGAGTCAAAAACTTATAATAGACCTACGTTAGACAAGATACTCAGTCTTTCTTGAGGCTTCTGCCTTGATTTTTCGACTAGCGAAGCTCTTTGGAAAGTGGATAGCGCTTTTGTGTAGCGTTGCAAGGACACCAAAGTGCAGAGCTATGGCATTGCAACAGGTGCACAACAAATCATAGACAAGAATTAGTTGCTAAGCATATATCATGTAACAAAACAAAACCACAATGCACCCATTCACCTCCATAGGAATATATGTTGGCCGATTTGGCATGCCAACATTAATGCATCGCAAATCTGCAGAATAATCCAACTGTATCTTGCGATGGGTGACAAAATATTCATAAACAGTAATCTCCACAGTCTCAGCTTCACCAGTCTCATTCTTCGTACTTTTCTGCTTCCATGAGAACCTGCATTATGGACACAGTACACAACAAATAAAAAATAATAACTTTAAACTGAAGTATTACACAACATGCCAGTAGGAAAAGCTCAAAGTTAAATAGTAGCCAATTTAGCACAAATCAAAGAAAAAGCACTATTGTGAGACCAGGAAACCATACATCTGATCTTTGCAGTAAAGGTCACTCAATCCGGTAATCTTGTACTCCAGATTGGATGGTCTGACTTTTACCCTCAGATTTTTAAGCACTTGTTTTGCCTATTCAGGGTTTCAAGTAATTGCGGTTTAATAATTAATAATTGATGCAAAGAACTCTAATTCACTTGGCTAAAAAATGTAGTTATTGATAACCTTGTTCCAGTCCAGGCAGTGAGGATCTCTCATATTCTGATTGTCAAGTAAAAAATCCAATACTGGACCGGGCCGAATTATCATTGTATTTGATGCATCTGAAACACAAAGAGAAATAGTAATTAAACAAACAATACAAAGCACACAAATGCAAAAGCGCTGAGAGATAAGGTTCCAACCAATATTCAGTGAAAGGCCTCCTTGAGTAGCTCTGAAACTTGAATGGAACCCCCTGCATCCTAGGACACCACCGCCAATGTTTGTATAATTATTTTCATCATCTTGGAAAAAAGATTGGCGAACGTGTAGGCATCCCCTATGAAAGTCATTGTAATGTCCGAATAAATATAATATCCGGGATCAAAACCTACAAGTGGAGAAAAGAATATGCAGCCACATATTTTAACTCACCGTTTTGCAGCATGCTGCCGTAAAATGATATCTAGCATCCTCAGGGCTTGTTGTGAGTTTTCTGATTCTTGTCCATACAGAGCATTTTGAATGGCTTGCATGGGAATCTTTGCGGCAAAGCTAATCTCCACGTTAAAAGTCTTTGACTGATGCATATGTCTTAATATATTCCTTCCACGCTCTTTAGGGCTTTCATTGCCATCAGGGCTTGCATTCCTATTGTTTCTATACATAAAAAATTAATGACAATGAATGGGAGCAGTATAAATACTTCAAATCAATCTAAAGTGCACGTCAACCTGTTGGATGTAACATCCACAAGTACAACAGGAAACTCAAGCTTGGTACTTGGGAGAGGACCAACAGTAAATAAACTCTTCTCCCCATCATATGCAAAGTCCTTTCCAGCCAACTCACTGCTGTAGGTCTCATGCAACTTATCTATCACCTTTCTTCCAACACCCTTCCCATCCACTGGGCGACCATCTTCGTAAGAAAGAGAAACCTGTTGAACCAAAATGCAAAAGAAGAAGAAACTTGCATCAATAATTTCTATTTACCAATGAGAAAAAAAAGAGAAGCAGAGCGAAGTAAGCAATTACGTACACTGTAATGGAAGAAATGTCCATCAACACTTCCAACATTCACTTTGAAGTGATTTGTGAGAATAGATATCTTCTGCCCTTTAGATCCAAAACCTTTCCTGGCCATTGGGACACGTACAACCTTCTTTGCAGGTTCAGATTCTGATTCGTTTGGTACTGCATTGCGCGGCAGAGGCAGGGGAGGAGGAAGAGTGCCTGTTGCCCCACTTCCCTCATCCTCAGACGAGTCCATTTCCTAACCAAGAAAAAATTTCTTACATGAAAGAAAAATAAAATATAGTAAGCACTTAAGATTAGCTACAAGACAAATTCCCTAAAAGGTAGGTAATAGTATCATTTCATGGATAAAAAGATTAGCTATAACCAGGCAGAAAAAAATAATTACTCTTAACTTGATAAATTAGTTATTACCAACAAAAGAGAGAAAACTAGAAACAATCACTCTTGACATATCACAATTTTAAAACTCGTCATTTTATATAATTTGGTATCTAGTTCACTTAAATTAGATAGTGTTTATTTATATATATGGTTTTTCTTTATAAAATTGTATTTTTTTTTTAAACTTTAAATATCCTAAGAGAAATCAACAAAGATATATCTTTTTTTTAGAGAAACATAAACATAGAAATTTAAAGAATTCAGAAAATAGAATAATGACTTAAAAATTAGATTAAAAATTTTTGTATTTGTATCGTGTAAATACTAAATTTCACGTATTTTATAAAAATTATGTGTAACAATTAATATAAATAAAAAATATGAAATATGGTTTTTAATTTTGTTAAACCATATATAATTATTATTAAAATTATAAATCATATTTCTTTCGTGTTATTTATTAATATTGTATTTCGTATTCCCTTTATTTGTATCATATTTATGTTATGTTTTCATGTGATATATTATCTTAACAAAGTGAAAACAACAACATGATATTTTTTTCTACTAATATACTCAAAATAAGATTTTTTTTTTTCTACCTACATATTCAAAATGAGATTTTTTTTTAACAATATGCTCATTCGCCAAAAAGAAAAACAAAGTCAATATGTTCATACGTCAAAAAAAAAAAATCAAAGCACCAAAACTATATAATATTTAAAAATGAGATTTTTTTTTCCTCACAAAATGCTTAGAAAATCACATGCATGCACATGAAAGACGTGTTTACGAAGGATACCAATATTACCTAAAAATCAGAGGATCTGTAGAAAAAAAATAAAAAAGCGTATGTTGATGAATGCTGGAACTTCCACAAGAAAAAAAAAATAGAGAAATAAGCACAAATGGTAATATAAAAGAAAAAGAAACCCTTCAGAGTACCAAAAAAAAGAAACCTTTAAGAATATGAGCTTGAACGCAGAGGTACCAAGGCTGGCTATGCACTAAAAAGGTTAACATGAAGAGGCAAAAAGGTACTGTTTTTAGCATAAAAGTCAAAACTTTAACCAAATATATTGCATCATTTAAGGGGTAGAACGAAAATATACCAGAAAGTAAATACCTTTAGCACATCAAAAGACAGTAAAAGACTATAGCTGCAGAGGAAGAGTACATGAAGCGACAAAAAGCTTGTAACGGAGGTTAAAAATCCCAACTGAAGCAAAAAATGCACAGCTTTCTAATGCTTGATGATAAGATGACAAAAAAAACCTTTTTTACTGTAAAAGAACTGAATAATAAATCAAATAACAAGGTACGAAGGTATTATGTCTTTATAGAAAAGTCCACCAACGATAAAAACTGTCAGTCTTTAAATTGAAGAAAAAAAAAAAAAAACACTAAAAAGGTGCAAGACTTGAACGTTTGTTGAAAAACTAGAAACAAATTTATGCAAGAAACAGATCGATACTCAAAAAGGAAACCCTTGAAAAACCACCCACTGAAGCAGCATGACATATGAACAACGTTAAAATTTTCAAGAACAAAGGAATTCAAATATACTTTTGACATAAAATAAGTCCTAAGATGAAAAACAAGAGAAAAACTGAAACAAACAGTTTTCAGAGAAAAAATTACTGAGAATTGGGAGCAAATGAAAGATAGAAACCCTAAAACTCAAAGAGACTCGCAAATACAAATACCCTCTTATCGTTTTTTTTCTCTCACGAAAAAAGCTATAAAGCGAGTGAAATGAACCCCCAGGGACCACCCGTCTTTGTCTTTGCCTTAATTTATATCCTCTGCATCGCGACTTACACGATTATGCTGCTTTACCACATCTGCACCGTCCACCTGGTCAATACTTTATTCATAATATGCATGAAAATTTTTTGAATGATTAAGGTTTTTTCAATAATTATATAAGTGTTTATATTAATGCATTGTTAGTATATAAATTTTATACGTTATCAGTGAATTAAATGATATTATTAATAAGATGAATAAAATAATATCACTTCATTAATATGTAAATTTTTTTAAAATTAATTTTTATATATTTATTTTAAAAATTAATATTTGCTCATTAATAAAATGATTTCATTTTATTTAGTGACTATATATAAAATTTGTACACTGATTATGTGTCAAATATAAACTCATTATATAAACTTAAGATATAAGAATGGTACCAAATATATTAAAAAAGTCATTACTTTTTTATTAAAGACAACTAAAACTTATCTAAAATAAAATGTTTGAACTAAGACAAATTAATTTTACTATACTATAGTCGCATAGCAATAATCATTTATTAAAAAAGTATTAATTGGCATAATTAATCATTTTACATAAATATATAAAAGTTAAAATCTTTAGTAAAAATAAAATATTCAATATAGATGACTTATATTATTGACATATATGTACAATCTTAAAAAGTTACTTTGTGTCATATAATAATGAATTTTATTTTATTTGATGTATTTTTAATTTGAAAATAAATTGATTATATTTTTTTATTATTTATCTTAAATCATTCTTAACTAAAATTCTAATTTGATGGTTCTAAGTTAATTGAAATCTCAAAATTACAAATTTGTCTACTTTAAACGATGGGGTGTGCTAAATGAAGTAGAAATTGGATTGGGTGGAAAAGGGTGATTTTGGTAAAAAAAAATGAAAAACGAAAAGGTAAATAGTGTGAGGACCATCTACTTACAAATATAATTGTGATGTAATTTTACGTGACACGTGTGGATAGATTAAAATATCCAAAATTAAACACCATATGGAGTAATTATATAGCTTTTGGTAGGAGTAGATTTTTTATTATATTGAATTTTAAATATTTTATCAACCACTTTCAATTCAATAATTAATATTGTTTAACAAAAAAATGTTGAAAATTTTTTTATCAATCCATAAATGATTTTATCCTAAAGATCTAATTTCGTAAATTCTTGTTTTGGTAGACAATTTTTTTTTAAGTATCATAGACATCTTTTTATTTTATTTTTTTTAGTTTTTCTTTATCGCATACCATTATCAAAAATCAACATATTTATAATTTTTTATTGTTAATCTCTCCAATTTTTTTTCTAATAATGGGCAATATAAATGTTAGACTTAATTATGAACTAGATGTTACATTTCTTCAACATACAGGTAAAATAATGGTAAATGTTTACAAATCAGTGAAGGGAATTAAATGGATTATTAGTAGTAGTGTGACAAAAAATGTTTCACTAATACAACTACAATGAATTAGGTGATTTGGATTTTTTTTTTTTTAAAATTCATTTAGTTCGTGCTTTTATTATTTTTATTTTAAATTAAAAAATTAAAACTGATGAATAAATAGTATAAAAATTTAAACACCGATTAGCAAGATTTTTTGAAATGAAGATATTAAAAGTTATTGATAGTTATATGCCTTATATTTTAATTTTAGTGATAAAATTAATTATAAAAATAAATAAATATTAATAAAAATATATCAAAAATGAGAAAAAGACTAAATTTTTTTTTATAATAAAGAGAATATGACAATAAACTAGACACATTAAAAATGTAAAAATTCATGAATACTATGTTTAAATCCTTAATTTAGTCATTTTTATAAAACATAAACCATAGTATACTACATTACATAATAGGTTTAGATCTTACATATTTCACAGCTTAATCGAATTCCTATAGCTTCAATATTTGCTTTAAGGACTTTTAAAAAATTACATATTGATATGCTCGATAATTATTTTTTTAAATGCTCGATAATTGTTTCTTAATCCTTCTCAAATATATAAAAGAATAGCGAGTGTTTTTCACATACCTATTCTTAGGCACAACAAGCTAGTTAAAAAGAGCACTTTTACTAGAGAAGTTGCTTTTGTAATTTTCTCACAATAATATTTGTTTATTTATGCACATTTATTAGGGTTAACTTAATTAATTAAAAAAAGTTTTACTTAAACATATTATAAAAGTTATATTTTTTTACAAAATAGGTCCAAATCTAGGTTTTAGGAAATGTGTCGTATGTACTGAGATTTAAAATTTACATTTGTTGAATACTACTTCTTAATAATAATTGTATGAACTAATTTAATTAAATTTTTAAATCAAAATTTATATGTTTACCAAGCTCAAATATAATATAAATATATAAAAACCAAAGTTTTTGGTGGAAAGGAAAAATCCAAGGTGTCCTGCATTCTAATATGTGGACGGTATTAAACAATCGACACTTTTTTTTTTGTATTTTATCAATTTTATTTGATTTCATATAATTTTAAAATATTTCAATGCATTGATTATATTTATTTCTTTTTAAATTTTTAATTAACTTACCTCTTCCATATGTATGTAAAGTAAGAGCAGACTTCTAACCAATTATTTAATATATTCATATTTGATAAAGTATGGTATTCAATCGAGTAATTAATTTAAGCCAAGTGTAAATATAAAAAATAAAAAATTTAATTGATTTTACATTATTAAGTTAATGAAATAAATTATTTCACTCTCCATAACCAATTGCTATTATTTGACATATTCACGAGTCATAATACTTTATTATTCAATATTCACTTCTTATTTTTAAAGTTACCTTTTTAATTGATCTCAACATACCTTGTTATACAAGACTTATAGTTGTTTATTTGATAAACCTTTTTTTTTTTTAGGATTTTAAGAAATAGATTATATCATTACATTTTTTTTTTATCAATGGTGATCACTCTTTTGTCATGGAGTATAAGATAGTCTTTTTTTTTTAATGATGTTATGATATATATGCATAGATTTAAATCTAAAGTTTAATAAAGTTAATTATTATAAAGTTTT